TTCTGTCCACACATGGGCTTCTATACTGTGTCAAATAGCACCCTGTCTGCCACCACAGCACTATCTCACTCATCCCACCTCGTTTCCTTGGTAGCACCTGCAGCACTTATCGCCATCTGTCATGCTAGCTCCTTCCGTGCCTCTTGTCTCTCCTAGACTGCAAACTCTACGGGGACAGAGGCCAAGTCTTGTTCACTGCGGTATCTCCAGCTGCAGGAACAGTGCTTGGCATTATTCACAGTCCATGTATGCTGAATGAAAGAATGATACTAATGTTGATAATGATGATGATGAAGCTAGCTGACTGCAAACATGTGCCAGGTGCTGTTGCAGCTGTGTTACATGCATTAACTTGTGCCACCCCCATAGAGGCCCTATGATGAGGCAACGCGGTTATCTTCATACTGTGGGCCGGGAAACCAAGACATAAGAAGTTAGGTATTTGGGCCAGATCTCACAAAGAATAATTACGTAAATTAACAAACTGAAAAGAGTTTTTGTGATGCTTAACCAGCTCACTCTCTTTAACTTACAGTAGGAAAACCAAGCCCAGATGAGGTGCTTATGAAAAGCGTGGCAGCTGGGACCTCTTCTGTGGGTCTCTCCCAGGCTTCTGTCAGCTGCAGAACTATGGAAGACCATATCTTTCCAGGGATATCTCAACCTATCTTCAAATGACTGGAAACCCATAGAGTTTGTTAGCCTACACAGTAAGCTCTCAACAAATAACTTTTGGAAAAATTAAGAATTTTTGGAAGCCAATAAACTTTTTACTCAGATTAGTAACAGACTTGGTAATACGGTGAACCCCACTGCCAAAGAGTATGAAAATTCTAAGATAAACCTCCACATAGGACTCTCCCGAGGCAGCTGGTGCTACTTTGTGAGTGCTCAGCTTTGGGGTAACTGCCCCAGGCACAGCAGCTTCCTGTGAGCAACCTGTACTAAGAGCCAACTGGCATGAAGTCGTGAGCATACAAAGAACCCACTATTCATCTACCTTTTTCACTCTAACTCTTCCTCCAGGAACAAAGACTGAGGCTCACTTTAGCTTGATTTCACTAGACTCAGAATGTGTATGTGGAGGCGTGGCAAACGTGCTAGTGAGTCTGTGAGAGGATGTGAGAGCAGGCTGTCAGCAGGTGAGAACGTGGGGACAGTGAAGGGAGGGCTCCGTGCGTGGGACTGGTTCTGCTACTCACAATCCCTGTGCAATGGCCTGGTCCCTCCTCACCTTGCCCGAACACTTCCACATGCCTACTAATAAAGCACTACTCTCTTCTCACCACATCTCCATCTCAATTTTCCATCAGAATGACATTGAAGTGCTACTTGTGAATTTACTAACTGAAATGTCATAACAACTTTAAACATAAAAGGCCCAGTCCCTTGACCTGCCCCTGGGTTTTACTAAGCAAAGAAACGTCCAAATACCACCTTTCTGGCCATGACCTGCGCGCTCACAGTTCAGCATGCGGCTGCCAGCCAGCTTCCTGGGGAGCAGCTGATCACCAGCTGTTAGCAGAACCCAATCTGAAACAGAGTGGTAGGTGCACGTCCCACCTTGGCCACCCCTTGTGAAGAGTTTGGGGATCATCATTCTGAGCTGTTGCAATCCCCTTCAATTACTGGGAAGTAGAGAGGAAGCTTTACTGGTGATAAAATAACTCTTCTTCCTTTCCCTCCCAGATCTCAGCGTAAGAGCCAAAGACCTCCTGGGAGACCCTGATTCCAAGTCCAGACAAGAAGAACACAGTTGCAAGTTTATGCTTAACAATCCTGACAGTTTTTAATTGTGGTTTTGTAAATGTGGTGTTTGATTATCCTTAGGCTTAACATTTGTGTATTATTATCTATAATCTAATCTCTTTAACTGAAATGTTTTCTTTGAAGTTTAAACGTTTTGATATTTATAACCATGATTTTTTAGAGTACATTGTGATTAGGACTTTATGTGCATTTTCTCTTTTCATTTGCCCTTGTATTACAGATGGGGAAACTGAGGCTCATAACAGGGTAAGTCAAGTGTCTGAGGCGATCAGCTGGTGAAGCTGGGGTTGGAAGGGGGGGGTAGTCTTTCTCTCCACAGCCCATGCCTTTCACCACGTACTACTTTCATTGCCATTGATCACTGTATGACAGTGCTTACATTTTAAGAGCGGCCTAGATTTAGGAATGCTTAGGTTCCTTTTGTAACAGGCAAAGCTGCCATGGCATCTCACTTACGGCTAAGTGGAGTGGACTCTTGATAGCACCAGAATCTGATTCTTCAAAACCACTGTTGGTTCTTTCCAAAAGCTGTGGAGACAAAAGGAAAACAACAGCACATGAGCCTAATTTCGCCAAAGGAATCCTACTTTCTGAATGCTAATGTTGGCGTAAATGTGAAAGGAGACTTCAGAAACGTAAGCAACTATTCAGCTTATCAGCAACATAGACAATCTGAGATAACATGTCTAAAACAAATACGCTCACCAAATATTTAAACTTCTAGATCATGTCAGCATTCGCTATTTGAAAGATAATAGAAAAAAATGTATGTTGTATGCACTTCAACTAACTAGTTGGTAAAAGTGAAAAAATGATAATAACCAGTATTTATTCCATTATAAAACATACATTTATTGGAAATAGTGTTAAAAAAGATAAAAGTCATGATTTCATGAAACTTACATGTTGGGGAAAAAAAGCACAGAAAACCAAATAAGTATACAAATAAGAAAATATCTGGAAGTTATACAAACTACAATGAAAACAAAATAGCGGAGGTGATAGGGAGTAACTGAGAGGTTACTTTACAGCAGATGGTCAGGGAAGGCCTATCCAAGGAGAAGATTCACTTCATTTAAAGTGAATCCTAAATAACAATAATTAAACAAGATGAAGGTGTGACAAGAGAGTTGGAGGACGGAGTGGTCAATGAAATGCATCAAGGAGATAAGTGTGACCAGGGCTTGATGTTAGCACATGACATTCTTCTCATGGATTTTCTTTTTGGAGTTCAAATAAAACTTTATTTATAAAAATAGATGTTAGATCAGATTATAATTAGCCCACAGGCTATAACTTTTTTTGCTGTGAGGTATGATACCATAGCACTCAACCCAGAGTAACAGAGTAAGACTTTGTCTCAAAAAAAGCAAAAGATAGAAAGGTAAATCTCACAAGTCTTCCACATCTGATAGCTAGTTTTCCTAACACCATTTACTGAAGAGACTATCCTTTCCTTATCGTATAGTCTTGGCACCTTTGTCAAGGAGACGTTCACTACAGATGTATGGATTTATTTCCGGGCACTCCACTCTGTTCCACTGGCCTAGGTGTCTGTTTTTATGGCAGCATCATGCTGTTTGGTTACTACAGCTCTATAGCCCAAGTTAAAGTCAGCCAATATGATTCTTCCAGTTTTGTTCTTTTTACTCAGGATGGTTTGGGCCCTTCTGCATCTTGTGTGGTTCCATAATTTTTAGAATGATTTTTCTATTCTGTGAAAAATGCTATAGTTATTTTGACAGGAAGGGACATTTTAATATGGACATTTTAACAATATTGATTCTTCCAATGCATTAACATGGATTATCTTTCAATTTTTTTGTGTGCCCTATTCAATTTCTTTCATGCTATATAGTTTTAATTGTAGCAATCTTTTGCTTTTTTTGGTTAAGTTTATTCTTAGGTATTTTATTTTACTTGTAGCTATCGTAAATGGGATTGCTTTCTTGGTTTCTTTTTCAGATTGTTTACTACTGGCATATAGAATGCTATTGGGCCAGGTGTAATGGTTCACGCCTGTAATCCTAGTACTCTGTGAGGCTGAAGTGGGAGGACTGCTTGAATTCAGGAGTTTGAGACCAGCCTGAGCCAGAACAAGACCCCTTCTCCACTAAAAACAGAAAAACTAGCTGAGTGTTGTGGCGGGTGTCCCAGCTACTCAGGAGGCTGAGGCAAGAGAACTGTTTGAGCCCAGGAGTCTAAGGTTGCTGTGAGTTATGACACCATAGCACTCAACTGAGAGTAACAGAGTAAGACTTTGTCTCAAAAAAAGAAAAAACAGAAATGCTACTGATTTTTTCTATGTTTATTTTGTATCCTGAAACTTTACTGAATTTATTTATCAGTGCTAATTGTTTTTTGGTAGAATCTTTAGGTTTGTCTAGATGTAAGATATTGACTACAAACAAGGGTAATTTGATTTCTTTCTTTTCAGTTTGGACGACCTTCATTTCTTTATCTTTCTTTTCAGTTTGGACGGCCTTTATTTCTTTATCTTTCTTTTCAGTTTGGACGGCCTTCATTTCTTTATCTTGTTTGACTGCTGTAGCTAGAACGTGCAGTGCTATGTTAAATAACAGCGGTGAAAACGGGCATTCTTGTCTTCTTCCAGATTTTAGAGGAGAGGCTTTCAGTGTTTCCCCATTTGGTATGACACTAGCTGTGGGTCAGTGACATACGGTTCTTATTATGTTGAGTTCCTTCTATACCCAATTTTTGAGAGTTTTTAATCATGAAGGGATGCTGAATTTTATCTAATGCTTTTTTAGCACCAGTTGAAATTATGATTTCTGTCCTTCATTTTGTTGATATAATGTGTAGTATTTATTGATTTGTGTATTGTGAACCATCCTTGCATCCGTGGAATGAGTCCCTCTTGGTAATTATGAATAATTTTTTTTTTTTAAGAGATGGTCTTGCTGTGTTGCTCAGGCTAATCTTAAACTCCTGTCCTCAAGCAATCCTTCCACCTTAGCCTCCCAAACCACTGGGATTATGGGGGTGAGCCACCGTATCAACCTGCATTGTTTTTATAATCAGAAAACCAGTAAAGCTATGTCCTTTTGGAGAAAAAGCTATTAACCTTTCATTTAATTTAAAAGAATGATGGCCACAGACCCTCTGATAGGTACCGAACTCCTTTCTCATCAATAACTGTGAAACAAGATGCTGCAATATTAGGATTCTTTGGTAGATCAAGTAACGAAGTAAAAAATTACCATATAAAATTTCAAATAATACAAGTAATTATATTGGAAGTATGAGGCATTTTGTGTTTGTTTCTTATTGGTGTGAGAACAAAGTTTGGAACTTAAACAATCTAGGATATGTTATAATAATCAGAGTAAATTTAACTTCAAAGCAAATAACTTTAAAACAAATCTCTCTCATATAGTTGAAATAAAAGTAGCCTCGATGGCTTGATAAGGCTAAAAACAGCTGTTCTTTGCTTTGTTTAGCAACATTATCACCTGCAAGACTTCCTGGAATTGATGACCTCAAATCCTGCCCTAGAATGAACTTTCAATCAAAGGAACACAGAATCATTTCCTACTATCACAAACATGATGAACAGGACAAGAGGACAATATGCTATTTATAGCCACAGATGAGGCATGTTTTCAGGACGTTAATTATGGAATAAGATTATTCCACACACGTCCACCCTTTGATCATTCTGACAGCATGTGGTGCTTTACTTCATTCACCAATATTTGTTGAGTGTTATCTATTTGTGTGACCCTGGGTTAGGCACCAGAATTGAACTGTGCAGTGAATAGATATGATGGCTGGCTTGACATAGCTTAGCAGTGGTTCTCAACCTTCCTAATGCCATGATCCTTACAAAAATAACTTATGGTTAGGGGTCACCACAACATGAGGAACTGTATTAAAGGGTCACAGCATTAGGAAGGTTGAGAACCACTGGCTTAGAGGGTAGTGGAGAACTCAAAGACGTTAACAGGTAATGAAAACAGCAAGGCAAAAAGCTAGGATGGAGAAGTGTTTCAGATGCCATCGGAACACAAAGAGGAACCCGACACAGACTTTACAGACTCCTCTGTCAAGGAATGTCTACCCTGAGACCTGGACGGCAGAGGTAAGCCAAGCAAAGCTGGAAGGGGAAAATGTTCCAGAAAGGAAGAGCATGTGAGAACAGAGAGTACAATAAACTTGAAAAATTTTAAGAAGCTCAATAAAACTAGAGCGGCGTGTCGGGATGAGGACGGAACGAGGAGCAATGAGGCTGAAAATGGAAGCGCAAGACAGATTAGGTACAGGGAGATCATATAATGATTGCCCAATCCAGGACATTTTTGAGAATGTTCCAGGACAACAGTTATAAAACCAGGACACAAATCAGAAGCAGCATGATGATGATCAGATTCTCGGGTTTTATAAAATCCACACATGTTGTAGTGCTGGGGTGGATTGCAACCCTAAAAGCAGAGAGAAGAGTTAGGATATTTCAACCACGGGATTTCTGAACGGTGAATTAATAAGTCTGTGAGAACTGCAGAAGAGGTGATGGGAATGGAAAGAAGTGGGTATACTCAAGAGTTTTATTCATTCCTTTATTCATGGATTTAGTCAATAATTATTTATTGAGCACTGTCCTGGGCAGAGTTTATAGCTTTAATACCGAGCCAACCTACACTGAGATTAGTGGTGTAATGACTACAACTCCAAACATTGGAGGAAGTGAGAAGGAAGAGTCAAGGATAACCCTCATTTTCAGCTTTAATAACAGAGTAGATGGTGATGCCTTCTTTGAAGAAACAAAATAAGAAGGAAGATCAGAAGTCAGAAAGATGAGTTGAGTTTTGGTTTAAAGTACTGCTGGGATATTCAAGGGGAGGTATCAATCTAGTAGACAGCTGGATGTAAGGTGTGAGGCTTAGAAGAGAGATTTGGACTGCAGTGAGGATCAGGAAGCTTTTGCAATCTCTAATCCATGAAGCTCCCACTGTGAGGGAGACTACTCAGGGAGAGGTGTCATGACAGCAGGAAAGAAGGCTTAGGACACGGCCCTCAGGCACTCCAGTATTTAAATGCTGATGACAAAGATTCTTGCTGATGAAAGCTGTAAGTTACTATGCATGCACTATGAGCTAAGCACTCTCCTAAGAGCCTTCCATGGATCATCTCAATTGATCCTCAGTAATCCATTAAATAACTGGCTCAAGTTCTCACAGCCAGTAAAGGACAGATTCAGGGATCGAACCCAGGTCTAACTTAAAACCTAAGTTCTTTACCCTAAACAACAATGCCTTGTAATCCACTGACAAGCTAAACTGCCCTGATACTTCACCAACAGCCTCAGGAATAGGGAGGAGGAAACAGAGAGAATGGATTGGGTTGGGTTTTGTTTTTTTTTAAGTATTTAGGTCTATTTATGCCTCTAACATCAACAATTTCCTTTAGTCACAGAGATTTTCCTCTTCTTTTCCCAATGAGTAGTTAGTATAAGTCTTAGTTAAACAGCAATCACTGGAGCTATAAATGGGGCTCCTGCCCCTGTAAGT